AGTTATTACTATTTTAAAAGTCTTAGTAATAAGAATAGTTACGTACGTTTTTTTTAAAAAGTATTGCTTTTAAAAATTGCCCCTAATATATATTCTCGCTTTATAATAATTAAAATAATAGTCCTTATTAAATTTATAATTAAATACTTATTTAAGTAATATTAGCTTTTTTTAAACCGTTACTCGGTTAATAACTTTTTAAGTATTTATTTTTTTTAATTTTTTAATTTTTATATAAGTAGTTTTAATAAAATAAGTTTTAAAAAGCTCGGGCATTTTAAAAACGTATTTTTATATTTTAAAAAAAGAAATAAGTTTATTTATATATATCCTATTATTAAGAAATATAGTTAATAAAACGTATTTTGTTTTGCTAATTATAGTATAAATATAATAATAAAGCGTTTAATACCCTTAAATCGCTTTATTAATTATTTTTTATTAATTAAGTATATATATATTAAAAAAAACGTCCTAATCTCGTTTTATATAAAATAAGAACGAATATTACTTAAATTGCTCTTTATAACTTAGGTTTTAAGTAACTATTTTTAGTAACTAATTTTTTAGTTTTTAGTTTTATTTAATATATTTATTATCCTTATAGCTATTAGAATTAACTATTTTAGAATTTTTAACTAAGTCGTTTATTTTTTTTATTTTTTAATATAAGCTCGTTAATTAAATAAGATTATTAAGGTCTAGTTAGGTAAAAAAGTCCTCTTCGTAAGAGTTTAAAAAAGTTATTTTTTTTATTTATATATATATTATATCTTTAACTTTTTTTATAAAAAGGTCGGCTTTTTTTATAGCTTTGTTTATAATTTTAATTAGTTATATAAAGGCCGGGCTTAGTTTTAAATTTTAAAAATTAAGAATTAGCTTAGGAATAAATAGCTACTTACTTTATTTATTTAAAAATAAACTAAACTTTTTTATAGTTTAATTTATTTTTTATAAAGTAAGTGTAAATAATAATAAGTATTTTTAGTTTATTATTAATAAGGCCTTTTTTTTATTTATAACTCTAAGTAATTAAAACTTAGGATTAATAGTTATAAGTAATTATTAGATTTTATTTATTATAGATTTTAATTTAAGTAATTAAATTACGGCCTTTATATCGTTTTTTAAATAAAAAACGGTTTTATTAAACGTTATATTATATATAATAATAACTTTTAAAAACGAGGGGATTTAGATCTTATATATATTATAAGTATTTGTTACGTATTTTATAAAGTATTTAATATACCCCCTTTATTTTATTTTAAAACGTTTCTTATTAATTTTTTTTTTATAATCCCTTTTTAAAAAGTATGCTTAGTAACTATATATATATATTTACCCCTAATAAAAATATAAATCGTAAGCGAGCCTTAATATATTTATTAATTATTATTATTTAAAATAATAATTAAATTAAATTTCTTTAATTTAAACTAATAAGAGCTAATTAATACGTTATTTAAAGTTAATATTATATAAATAAGTTATTATTAATATAGTTTTTACTTATAAGTCGTTTAGTAGCCTAGTTATAAATATTATACTAATTATTTTATTTATAATTTTTTAGCTAGCTCGCTCCCTATTTTTATTTAGTTTTTTTATATATAAAGGGGTAGTTTTTAGTTTAATTCTAAGCTTTTTTATTTAGGTTTAAAAGCGAGTTTTGTTATTAATTATGATTATTATATGTTTTATATTTTATTAAATTTTATAAATAATAAGACCTTTTTAAGTACGTACTTATTATTTAAATAAATATAAGACCTTAAATATTATATTATAGGTCTTTATAACTTTTAAAAAAACGAAAATCCTACCTAAGTACTTATCTTTAATTAATATAAACTATTTATTTTGTTCGTATATAAGTAAATAGTTAAAAAAGTCCTAGGTAATTTTAAAATACGGCCTAGTTATTTTTTATTTTAAAATACGTTTTAAAATAACTTATTTTATATAAGTAGTTATATAGTATTAATATTTTAAATAATTTAGTCCTTTAATCCTTACTCCCCGAGCGGCTAATATAAGTTTTTTAAATATTATTAGCGTAAAATATTTAGACCGAAAGTACTAGAGCTATATTAAATTTATTTATTTATTTCTTAGTTAATACGAGGGATAAAGTATATATTAATTATAAATAAAAATTATATTTATTAATAAAAAAAGATTTCTAAGTAATAAATAAGATAAATAGGGCTTATATTTTAAGAAGACTAAGTTAACTTTCTTAATAAACTATTTTATTATAACGTTTTTAAATAGGTTATTAAAATAAAAAATATAATTAAAACTAAAGTATTAAATACCCGTTTTTTAAAATAAGGCTTTTAATATAATATTAATATAAAAATTCTTAACGAAGCTAATATTATAAAAAGTTAAGTTTTTAGTTCTAAGTCCCTTTGCTTTTATAAAGACGTTTTAAATAATCCTTATTCTATAAGTAAGTATAAAATAGAACGCTGTTTTAGAATTTATATTTTTAGTTTTATTATATTATTAGATTAATTTAGGTTCTAAAAGTAATTAATTATTAATAAAATAAATTGCGCCGTAGTTATTTATAACTATATATTTAAAAAAGAGGTATAAGCCCGTAAAAAAAATAAAAAAAATGGTAAAATTAGTATTTTTATTATTTATTATATTTAATTTTAATAGTAGAGTGATATTAATAATTATAATTACGATATTCGAGAGGTAAAACGCTTTAAAATCTTACTTTTTTATTAACTTTCTTAGTTTACTTAACTTTTTACTTCTTTTTTAATTATTATTATTAAATTTATTAAGAGCTCTCGCTTATATTTATCCTTTTTAAGCGAGGTTAGTATAAAAATCGGTATATTTATTAATATTTAGGTAGGTAATTATCTTATTAACTTCGGTTCTATTTAATTAAATATATTTTTATTTTGTTTTTTTAATAAAAGCGAATTCTATTTTTGTATACTTAATTAATTTTTAGTAGTAGGTCCTTTTATAAGGGTAGTTCGTAAATAAGTTAGGTTTTATTTCGTTCTACTTAGGGAAGTCTAAACGACTTATTAATATTATAAAAATTATAAGGTTTTATTTATAATTTTTATTATATATTACCTCTTTGTATAAAAAGTTATTAAATATCTTAATATAATAGCTTATATTAAGTACTATTTTACCCTTTTATTCTATTTTTATAATATTAATAAGCTCTTAATTAGATTAGTTTAAAGTAAAGTAGCGAGCGGTTATATAGAAAAAGGATTTAAAAATAAGAGTCCCCTAAACCTCGAGTAATTAGAACTATATTATATAGTAATAAGTTAAATAAAAATCCTTAATCTAAATAATAAAATTAATATTAAAGTTTATTTTATTTATAACCGTATTAAATTCTTTTTAAGTAATTATAAATAAACTTAAGTTACTCGGGGTATACTTTTACTTAAAAACTCTAATTATTATATAAAATAAGTAGTTAAATAAATTAATAAATTCTTTTTTTATATTTTCTAAAATATTTTAAATAATAGAGTTAATAATTTAGCGGTTTATTAACTTATATAATCTCTTTTTTCGTAATTAAAAGATTATTTTAAATACTATTTATTAAATAAAAGAAGTATATTTTTTAAAAAAACGCGCTTAGTTAGCTATAACTAGTTTAAGCTTTATAAAAAGAGAAGGTTATTTTACGAAGCCGTTTTATTATATTAAATTATTTTTAGTATTATTTTCTAGAGCTTTTTACTAAGTATAATAATTAAATTATTAATTATACTTAGTTATAACTACTCTATAAACTTATTCTTAAGTAGTATTTCGTATTTTAATATATTCCTTAATAAATAAAATAAACTTAATAAAAAATAAAAAATTTGAGGGTAATTTTATATTATTTAAGTTAAATAAGTCCTAAACGTCCTTTAAGTGGGCCTCTATTTATAAAATAAAATATTACTTTAGTTAGTTTCGTTAGTAATTAAGCTTATACTTAATTATTTTAAAAACTTTTTTAAAAAATATAGTTATTTAAAAACGGGCTTTATAAATATAATAAGAGTTAAAATTAAGTATAAAAAAAAATATAATAAATCGTAGCTCTTAAAAAATAACTTTTTAATAAAAGTTTAGTAGTTTAAGTTAGAACTAAGTTTATAATTATTATATAATTATAAATAGGGGTATCGATATTAAATATAAAGAACGGTTATTTATTAAAAATAGGAAATAGGTACGAGGTTTGCCTTAAAATAAAGAGTATAAGCGAGTATAGACCTTAGGTAATTATATAACCGAGGTTACGTAATATATAGTAAGGCCATGGATGGTTGAAGCTATTACGACAGGTCTAATACCTGTTGGTTGTGAAGAAGAGCGTATGGTTTTGTTTTCAAGTTGGACTACACATTAACTTTTCGCTAGGACGCTAGACTTGATGAGTATGTCAGCCGTTGACGGTAACAGTGCATCGACCGGAACAGCCGTTCAACGTCCGTGGTTGGTCGTGGGGTAACAAAACAAGCTTTGGCTAATTTCACCCAAGACGGTGACATCAATCTCAATTTTCTCCACTCCGACACCGGCTATGTCGGCACTTTGTCTTCTTATCAGTTGGATGCCCCAGATTGTCTCATTGACCTGCCTGTTTTGTACATGAATCAAACCATGCCTCATGCAGTAGCTAACGGGAGACGGCGCGCAAAGTGAAGATCAAAATGAGCAATAGAGGATTATAGTAGGGGAACGCGCCATAGCAATCGACATGCCTCCTTGGGGCAAGTCGCTACCCACCGTAATATGCACAAATCTCGTATCATTTGTCCGTCCCAACTGGCCGGCGCCCGACTTGCCACCATACCCGCTGGACTCCTGCCTACCGACATGTAAATAGCGATGCCATGTTCCTCTGCATCTCTTGGCCTCTTCTTGGCTCTGCAGGGTCACTTTGAGGCTCTGGAGCTTGACATCTTGGCAAGAAACGACAACATACCATCAAGATGCGCACATCAAGTCTCATTGCCGGTCTGACGGCTGTGCTCAGCTTGCCACTGATTTCTGCCTACGTTCCGCCAAAGTCGCACCGGAGTCCGCTCCGTCGCGTCGCTCCTGGTCATGCTGAGGTGCAAGCTCCGCCACGGGCGATTATGCGTCGCAGCAGCACCTTGCAGTACTTCAACAACAAGACGAGTGGTACGATCTATTTTGTGCTATCCAATCTGAGTACTTCTCTGACAACAAAACTTTAGCTTTTTACGTTGATGGAACGGGAATCCCGGACGTTGACTTCGATGTCGGCGAGAGTTACGCCGGTCTCATTCCCGTCGATGCTTCGAAGCCCGAGAGTGAGCAGCAGAAGAACTTCTTTTGGTTCTTCCCCACCGAGAACCCTGCTGGCAAGGACGATGTCATTATCTGGTTCAATGGTGGCCCGGGATGCTCCTCCATGGAAGGTCAGCAAAGCCCAATCCTGTAACCTTTTCGTGATAAGTTACTAAATGTTGGCAGGCTTTCTTCAAGAGAACGGCCCATTCTTGTGGCAGTATGGCACGATCAAGCCTGTCGCCAATGCTTGGTCCTGGCATAAGTTGGCTAACGTGATTTGGTAAGAAATTTTGCATTACAAATACGCGCGAGAACGGTACTGATGTTTTTGTCAAAGGGTCGAATATCCCATCGGCACAGGATTCAGCAGCGGTAATGTCACTGCCACAGACAACGCCGAGACGGCAGACCAGTTTGTCAGTTTCTGGAAGAACTTTGTCAAGACTTTTGACCTGCAGGGCAAGAAGATCTATATTGCCGGCGAAAGTTACGCCGGAATCTATGTGCCCTATGTCGGCGCCGCCATGCTTGACAAGAATGACACCACGTACTTCGACGTCAAGGGCGCGGTCTACTACGACCCAGTCATGCCTTATGATGACGCGATGAACTTCGATCACGCCGCTTTCCCGTCATTCTACCGCTACTGGAAGAATGTGTTTGCGCTTCCCAGCGGTGCCGACAAGCAGATCGAGCAAGACGCCAAGAACTGTCAATTGGACGCGTACTTCAACAAGCACTTGGCCTACCCCCCGCCTGCGCGTCCTTGGCCAGTGGCGAACGTGAAGGAGGAGTGCGATATCATTGCGCACTTTGACGCGATCTCAACAATCATCAACCCTTGTTTCAACGGATACCACATCCTCGATACGTGCCCCGTTCTCTGGGACGTTTTGGGCTTCCCATCCATCATGTACAGCCCTCCCAACACCACCTTGTACTTCAACAGACCCGAAGTTAGAAAGGCGATCCACGTTCCCGTGGACTACCCTACGTGGAGCGAGTGCCAGGACCCCGTCTTCGTCGACTACAATGACAACTACAACGGCACCGAGCACGAGGAGAAGTTCCAAACGCTTGTGGAGCGCACCAACAACGTCCACGTTGGCTCTGGCCTGGCAGACTACGTGATCAAACCCAATGTCACTACTCTGGCTATTCAGTACGTCAAGTGGAACGGCTTGCAGGGCTTCCAGAAGCAGCCTTCAGAGGATCTCCTCATTCCTACAGTCAACAATGTCGACGAGAACGTTCCTAGCTGGGCTGGTGCTAATGTCCAAGGTTCCGTTCACACGGAACGCGGCTTCACCCACTCCACTGCCAAGATTAGTGGCCACATGGTGCCGCAGTATGCCCCCAGCGTCGCGTTCAGACACAGTGAGTTCATGCTTCGCCGCGTGGACTCGTTGTCTGCCGGTGCACCATGGTCTGTCAACATTTCAACCACTTTCCAGTGGCCCTACTAGGCCTCGGAGCCCTCGCAATCTCATGGCAGATCCGTGCTAGCAGAACACGTAATCTTGAAATGTAAGAGTACGGCTGAAGTAGAGGATTGTAAGAAGAGATTCCATGGCATCCGTTAGATTATTCATGTACATATCTTCAATTGCGCTTGACGTTTTGGCCTACATCATCGTGAGGAAAGGATCGGAATTGCATCATTTAGCCTCTATCTCATTTATCCTTCTATCAGGACCCGGAGAGTAAACGTGAGATGTGTTAGCACCTCCTAACCAAGGTTCGTTAGTACACGGCGGCGTCAGAACTTTATCTAAACCTCTTTAATACCGTGCTTGAGCAAATCAAGTAGGATTTCCTGACATTCTGGGGTGCGCATCCTTCGAAAAACTGCCGAGGGGCTCTAACCAGTCTTCGAATCACTCTCGCTGAAGCTTAAGTCTTACCGAAAAAGGGTTCTTTGGAAATGAACCGCCTAACCGACCGAGATCCCAATTCTCTAATATCAGATACAATGCATGCGCACGAGGGAGAAGTCAAATGCAGAATATTTTCTGTTATTTACTGTGGAAGCTATCCAATATGCACAAGATGAATGGTCAAAAGACCGTGTCATAACACCATGTCACCCATCAATCGCCAAAAAAGGAGTGGAATGCTTCCATTCAACTCAGAATAGGAACAACCAAGCACCTGCCCCTCGCCACTCCCCGCATCCCCATAAACACAGGATCCCACCCTGTATCAGACCACCTCAAAGTAAGGTGTTTGTCATTTCATCGTGATATGTACTCTTTTGAGTAGACATTTAGCCGACGTACTTGACGGTGACGGTGCTGCCGCTGACGGAAGCAGAGGCCTCGATGGTGCGGCCGCTGTTGGGGGAGATATCAATGATATCAGCTCCGGCAGGGGTGGTGGAGCCGCTGGAGCCGGAGGCGGCGGCGCCGGTGAAGACGACGGTGCCGAAGTCAGCGAGGGTGACCTGGCTGCCGTTCTCCTCGAAGGCCTCGACGATCCACTCGGCGTTGGTCTCGCAGAGGGTGGAGGGGGTGCTGGTGAAGGTGTGGGTGACTGTCTTGCCGGTGGTGAGGTTCTGAAGAGTGGCAACACCCTTGGTCTTGGAGGAGGCGTCGACGGTCATCTTGATCTGGTCGCCGACGGAGACGGAGAAGCCGGAGAAGCTGTAGGCGTAGTCGGGGATCCACTCGTACCAGGCGTCAAAGGTGCCGTCGGCGTAGAAGGAGATACCGGTCTGGAGAATGGCAGTCTGGCAAGTGTCACCGTCGATACCGACCCAGGCGGAGGCGGCGGCGCCGCTGGAGCCGCTGACCTCGGGGACGGTGATGGTACCGGTGACGTGGTTGTATCCGGTTCCGATCTTGACGGCACCGGCCCAGTTGCTGGAGTAGTCGACGTTCTTGACACCAGAGGTCTTCTCAAGGGTCTCGACGGCCTCGCTGGAAAGTCTCTTGATGGGAGAAGAGTTGTAGCGGGAGCGAGACGAGCGAGGGGTGAGAGGAGAGTAGTTGCGCTGGACGAGCTGAGTGCCGGGAGCGGCGGCGACAATGCCGGCGGCGGCGAGAACGAAAGCGGAGAACTTCATCTTGACTGGTGAGGTAGATGAGGATTGATGGGATGAGACCGAAGGTGAGATGGCAAGGGGCTTCTTGGGATTGATGCTGGCGATGCTGTTCTACATTCTATCTTCTTGGCCGAGAATCTTGCCCATCTTTATATCCTTTGTGATGTTTGATTGAATTGACATCGATATTGGCCATCCGGCAGCCAATATCTCACGCCATTGTCCCGGCCTCCCGATGCAATGAAGCCGCTATTCTGCTTCTCGCAGGTCAGTAGATATCGCGATGCCGTGTTTTCCGAGGAACTTTTTGAAAATGGAGGTTAAGCCATAGAGCGTGATGAAGAATCACGCTGTTGCATCGAAGTGCATCCGGCGTCAACTGAGCTCCTCCCTTATCCGGAACCATCGTGAAAGCCGTTGGTGTTGACCGTTGTATCCAGGGATCCGCCTGCGAATACCACTTTCCTTTTAAGAGTAGCCTTAAGGTATGGCGCTATCCGCGCGGACTAAACATAAGTGCCGGGAAAGCTTAGCACTGCGGGGACTCGGCCGACGGATAAGCAAAATGCTGTGCTGGTGTTGGTTGGTTACTTGGCACCACGCCGCCAAGGCAGGGGTTTGCAGATGATTGCAGACTTGACATGGTGGTGTGTGGACAAAGCCCAGGCCTGGGGGGAAGCCATGGGTCCAATCGTTCATGGTATTGATAAGTCCGAATGCTTGACATATCTCGGACTCAAGGCACACTTCGAGCATAGCGTAACGTCTCCGCCATTCGGGATCTGGATGACGGGATGGCGATTTCGCCGTACGCGACTGTGCCGCAACGGCTGCCGCTCGGGTATCCGGCACATCACCTGCTCCACCTTGCGGGAATACCCCCAAAGAGGAATGAGGATCTGGAGGACCGACTGATCACAAGATTGGAGAGCTGAAACGAACGATAGACAATCTTTGTTGTCATATGAAGAGGCGTTCGGCTGCCGTCGGTGGAAAATCATTTCCGCATCTAACAAACTCGCATGCTTAATGGACAACACTGCCTATCTCTCTGTCAGACCAGTATCGCTTTTGCAACGGTGAGCAAAAAGACGTATCGATATTTGCGACGCCTGGGACTTATCATTTTCTTTCTTTCCAAGATGTCTAATGTGAATAGTTAACACCATCACAGTCATTCCTTCCGCGTTACGACGACTGAACAGGTAAGATTCTTACCAGTACGAGCCTTGCCCACTTTCGCAAGCCTGGCCAGAGGAGAGTCTTCAATCTCTGACAGTATCTTAAAAAAAACAAAAGGTCGCACTGAAAGAGGTTTTTGTTTGAGTCCTGTAGGTAAACAAAAATACGATTTTGAGGACTTTCACAGGGACCGCAGCATGTTTCGCCGACTGCAGACCATCCATTTTTCTGCTGCGTTTCAACGGGTCTCATTCACAGTTCATTGCTAAGTTGAAGACACTTTACTGCAAATTGGATTGATCTCGCTCTATTGGGTAGTTGTTCCGTAGTAGTGGCTCAGTCGACTTGGTACGTATATTAATATCAGCTCCCTCTTTCGTTAACATCAAGGTACTTGGACTACGTGCCCTCTTTTCTCAAGGGTCAAGTTTTAGAATGGCGTCTGCCATTCCCTTCCCTGGCCATCAGCTTTGTCCCGGGCCGTTACGGCAAGGCAACGTTCAGTCTCTTGCGAGGGGTAGAAGGAGTATTGGACGTCTTCTTATCAAGTTCTAATGCCCAAGGGCTTTGAGAAGGAGTAGAAACGACTGGTATCTTTGGGACGTGCAGACTGCGGTTGATTCGGGAAAAACCTCTGGAAGTTCGCTCATTGACGTATAAACCTCTCGACGGAAGTTTATTTTATGATCGAGGTCTCTTTCAGCTCTTGCTCTTCGATGCTGGCTGTTCCTTTTTGATGCATAGGTATTTGACAGGTGGGCTTGCGAAATTTTCGTCATGGGTAGTAATAATGGGTGATCGAGAAGCCACGCTCATCTTTTCCCGACTTCGAGGCAAGAGTGCCAACGTCCAAGGCTTCCGGGTAGTACATGTACCCACAAGCCTGTTTAAAATAGGCAGTTGCGATGCTCAGCATAATGTTAGAGAAATGATCAAGAGGCCTTGATGTTCGACATGTGGCATGGGGCGTGTCCAGGTTCATATTCAATTCTGCTCGGTGACCTATCTCAAATACTACATTCAATCGAAACGACAGCGAGATGCGAGAACCTCCCCTCTTTTATCCGATACAACAGATGCCTTATCCCTCTCTTTACTTCCTTCCAATCTTCGTTAGCATCTAGAATATTCAATATCGTATACCCTGAGTTAACTCACGTCCGTGGGGGTATGTTATCTAATGGTCATTAGCTTTGGCTGCTGCCGTGTTGTCCATACCACTCGGGCAATGGTTTTCTACATAGGTATAATATTGTTAGTTCAGGGCTTCCAGATTGAAGCAAACTTAGGTGTATAGACATCCCTGTCTTCTGCGTCTGTGCTTGTAATCTCCATGTCGGTGGTGGATTCGCTGGATTTTGGTAATCAATCCTGTCTCACCCGAGAATTTCAACTCTTTTCTCTTTTGAGCTCCTAGCACTACAATACCTCCAGATAATCCATAATCTATCTTACCGAGTTCCAGGCGTTCTGAGACTTTTCTGGCTCATAGGCCTGAACAGTCTGCTGACTCCTTTGTGAGTTTGACTACTTCGACTCTCTCTATAGCGGTGTACTTGGGCTCGTGAATGTAAGCTTCACGCTTTCATAATCACTCGACAGGCCATGTTATGATTGACGTTTACGTCTTATAGATGAAACTCACAACGACAGCTTATCTCTTCGCAACGGAACTTCACATTCAGATGCTTTGAGTGCCGTATGTACCTACGATGAGTGCAACTATGAGTCTGAGTACAGGTGTGGCGGCAATTGAAACAACTCTAGCAGGACCAATCCCGTCGGCCCCATCCCTCCTACCTTTCGACAGCTAAGCTCACTCCACAGCCGGCAAGTCCCATGTCAGTACTCGTGCAACAGTAAGTATTATGCATTCGTTCACGGCCGTCTCGCCGGTCATCCCATCAGATGCCACAAAGGTGTTCAGGACGGTAACGGATTCTGTTGACCACTTATGCTTCTTGAGGTGATTTAAGCAAACTTTGATGTTAACCTCTCTTATCTCCGACGCCCTCTCATGTTGTACAGGCGGTACTATATAAGAGGTTTGTCTAGAAGATATGTTGGACTCCTGGGCCTCTCGATTGCTATTTACTAGATCCTTCAGCCAGTCACACCATCACTACTGTGCTACTGAATCTTCTCTCGGCACTTGATTTGAACCAAAAAGAATCATCGTACTCCTGGGTCTGTCGAACTCAGGAAATACCCCTTCTGATTGATTCGGAAGTACTTCAAGAT